GCGTTTATTGGTGTTTCAGCCAGGTTACTTTTCACATCCAAAATTATTATTTTGTATATTCTTTACAATAAATGGTTAATTACTACTAGCAATGGATAAAATATTATCATCAAAGTATAAAATCAGACTTACACGATATGATGATTTAAGAGTGTATTTAGAGTTGTACGAAAAGCTAATAGATGTTAAGGTGATAATAACTTTGCTGATATTTATTATCTTTTACCTATAGCTCGTATGTAATTTTAATATCTAATACAGGAAAGGCCTATAAAAACTTCATCTATTATAATATTTCTTAAATATTTTAATCCGCATACACAATTGTTAGAGTATGTAAATTTAATATATTATACTGTATTATTGCTAACATACGAAACTTAATGCAACTTTAATTCGTATGAAAAGAGGTCTTGGTCAGCTGTACGTTCAGAAGGATTATACAGTTAATGTTCTTTTTCCCATCCTTTGTGAAAAGAAACAATTTCCGTTAAACATGCTTCTTGATATATATAAAGTGATTAAACTACATTAGTTCATATTTTATTTGTTTATTTCTATCAAAGATGTTATATAAATATATATTATTTTATTACTAAAAAATAGGAATTCGAACCAAATATAGTCAAAAAAATGAGTCCAAATTTTACTTTTAGAAAATATAAGATACAAAATGGTGATATAATATGTTTCCAAAAGACATTGACAAATAAAGAGTATGTATGTGATTAAAATTTTAATTACTTAATTTAATTAACGGTTTAAATTTTATATAGGATTCTAGAGCATGTTTCCGCGAATCGCATCTATAGTATTCCTCAATTTTACGAATCATTATCAACGAATATTATTGTTCATTTTAAGTCAAAATTTGGATATAAAGATCCGATACCTGAATTTAAATTAATTTTGAATAAGAACTTGTCATATAAATCTGTATGTTAAATCATTTAATTTATTATTTTCTTTTATACTATTATAGTTTATCTAATAAGCCTTTTATGCGTAGGTTATTAATCAAGTCGCTATTCATCTTAATATCGATCCCTTAAAATTGCGTTTCATATCTGTAGGCTCGTATGGTGAGCCAACATTTAAGATTGATAATACGACTGATCAATCATTATCAAAGATACTTCGATTTTCAAGTCTATATTATGAAATACTTTAATATTTATAATATATTATAAAACATCATTGATTTTGAACAATGGACTTAAAAATTTTTTCTTATTTGCTTAGTTGATATACAATAATTGCTATCGAATAAAACAAATAATTATTGACATTGGACATTAACTATGCCGGAGTCCACTATCTTCAATATTTTTAATTCATACTGTATTTAAAACCAAGTTTAATATTTACAGTATAGCAGATATATTTGGTGCTGAATAAAATAAAGGATTTTACATTTCTTAATTAATTTAATGTGAATTAAATTATAAACATTGATACAAAAAATTCAAAAAAACTTGTGGGCATTTAAAATTTATTTTTTATTTTATTTCTTATTTTTTTTGGATTGAATAATAATGTAAAAATATATGTGTTTTTAACTATACATAATATAATATATATATATATAAATATATATTTGTCTCTAAATATTTTTGCTAATATTTTTAACTTACTCATGGATCTTAATGGTAATTACTATCCTAGATAACTTAGATGTATTTAATACTATTTTCTTCCTGAGCAGTATTGTCAATCAACCATAGATATACGTATGCTTAGTTTAGTAATCAATAAATGATTTACTGAAGTTATAGAATTTTATGCTCTATTTATTTTAATAAATAATAATCATAGTATATATATCTTTGTGTAAAATTACGTGTTTATATTAAGATTACAAATACACTCTAATAATTGCTCA